TTGAGGAACAGTGCTGAAAACCCACCAACACCCTCTGGCTGAGACCATCGTCATGCAAGGAGAGCAGAGGAGCTCAGCCATTTTTCTCATCCATAAGGAAGACATTGTGCATACACCTCCCCCAATGGACTTGCAATGAGTAGCTGTTTTCATTTAATTTTCCTTTCCCCGAAATTCATGTTTGTTTGTTTTGAATTTCAGGATGGCTACCAAGCTCCTTTCAGCACTGAATTAGAGAAACATAGGGTAGAGTGGTGGCCAGACTCACCTACTAATCAAATTAATGTGTCTTGGTGAACCAATTCAGGATACTGTGGTGCTGGCTCTTGTGATTTCGTAACATCTCATGACATTCAATATTTTTGTTAAAGCTCTACTTTCCACATTCATGTGATAATGGGAGAAGCTGAGGTTTTACTTAGGAAGAATTAGCAATAAAGTATCTAGAGCACCTGGTAGTAGAGAGTAATTGGCAAATGGGACCTAAATGCATCCTAGTCTCAGAAAACCAGAAGGAAAATAAAAAGCACCTGCAAACAACAGTTGTTGGCTGAGCTTGCTGGAAAGACACTTGCAAGAACCGTGCTCATCTGGCTGTTCCTGTGGACAGGAGCTGTTGAACACCAATCTCAAATTGTCTAAAATGCTGTGATGTTTTCTGGATAGTTCCTTGTAGAAAGCTGGGAGTGGGGTGGGAGAAGAGATGCCAAGTGAGGCAAGAAGTTATCATCCACAAAAGTTATAGAGTGGGAAACCTGGACCTCCAAGCCCAGGACCAGTCGTTACAAAAGTGGCCCCTAGCTAGATGGCTTTGGGGTGCTCTGCGTGTTACCAGATACTTGACTCCAAATACCTGAGGGGGTTTTCTTGGTGATATCCAGCGTCCCGGCCTAGAGTGCTGGTTGGGAGGTGTCGGGACAGACCAGACTCAGGGGGCACAGACGTACCTGTGGCGTTTGGAAGCACGAGGCCACTTCAGAGGCTCTGTCTCAGTGCCACTTCCCCCATGCATCAGCCGCCTCTGAGTGAGAGGGTGGCTGAATGGAGACAAGGGTGCAGGGCAAATAGGCACGGGGTGCATTGCTCATGGAGGGGAACCAGTTTTTACCAATTTTCCACTTTCTGTGATGAGGACCTGTTTCATCCGACTCTCTGCCAGGGTGCTCTGTCTTTGGTGGGAGGAGTGCATGGAAAATACAACTGAATGCTACCATCAGCTGCTGTTCCTTCCCAAGGGACTGTGTGGGGCAGGGGACAGCGGTGCCACTGCCACAGACACGTGGAGATGCTGACTGAAGATGATATGAAGAGGAGAGGTGAACTACAATAGGTGAAACTGTGACTGTCTCTTGCTCTGGGCTGCCCATGCGCAGTCCCCATCCCCTGAGGAATGACAGTGTTAAAATACACCGCTAGACAAAATATGGCAGAAAATACAGTTTTACAAACCTCTTGACCTGAAAACTTTTAAAGAATACAAGATACGGGGCAGTAAGAGAGACATCCGATAAACGACTGGACATAAAGGCAGCTGTGAACTACCCACAAATAAAGCTCTGAGGCTGACTGTGAGACTGGTGGAAGACTTCTCCTGCCATCCTTGTCCTGCTGCGGAAACATTTCAAGTTGTTACCAGGAACAGTTTGCAAAGGCTCACACAAAGCCACCGTCGGAAATAACTCAAACGTAGAGCGGAAAAAATTGCTCGAGAGTTCTTTTGGGAAGGATTAGGTTTGAAATAATTGCCATTTATAAATTAATTTCACATCCTTTTGGAGCTTGGCCTACTAGCATTTCAAGGCTTGACTGGAGCTGGCAGGCAGAGTGGGCATGGATTCCAGGGCCTGACTGCCAAGAAAAAGGAAAATATTAAGATAAAAAAATTGGCAATGAAAAAAAAAGGCCAGGGAAATATAGGGAAATGAGATTTAGTTTAGGAAAATTATTGTTCTCTGAGCCATGGCTCATGATTTTATGGCTGGCATATTAATCATGATCTTACGTGAGCTTGGACTTTGTAATCAATGTCTGAAGAGAAACTGTTGGCGAATACAGCTCCAGACACTTTAATGATCTTTAAATCCATGATTATGTTATTTTTTAATATTTTTTTAAATTCATATCAAAGTCTATTGAAAGCCGTGGGGAGACTCCTCTCAGCTTCAACAGCTTTGAACCAAGCTGTGTAAAAATAGATGCCACGCGCTTCAAGACTTCTGCTGCAGTCTTGCCAGCCGAGTCCAGCAGTAGAGTAAGACCATGACTTTTCTGTTTCTCACACCCCGCGTTTCAGGATCATGAGTTATCAGGAAACAGCCACCCCGTGTTTCAGGATCATGAGTTGTCAGGAAACAGCCAAAGTCTATGTGATACCTCTCAGTCCTTTTGCCCAGTGCCAGATTAGACCTGAAAGATCTGGGCTTGCTCCGGCTGTTCTCTACAGTGCTGAGCACACACATCCGCTCTGCATTTCCCTGGGCTTGTCGCACAACAGAGGGATGCTCTGCTGCCCGGGGGACATTTTCCACAGAGCCGTACAGCAGATGAACAGCTCATTTCAAAAAGGAAAACGTGTATGTTGAATATAAAACTGCCCAGGACACAGGGGAAAGGAGTGAACCCAGTATGGAGCCCTGTTGCAAGGGCTGCTCCTCCTCTCAGCGCAAGTCAAGCCGTTGCTAAACCAGAAAGCACCGAATCAGAGGCCAGCCCAAGTCACAGAGCAGCTGCGAAGACCTCTCTGCAGCCCCACGTCTTGCAAATCGTCTCTGCATGGTCAGACTGGTCCAGATCTTCATCTTAGCACTTTTTGGGCATTTTGCAGTGTGCGTTTTTAGTTTCGACTGCATGAAGAAGGCCACCCTCCGGCACAGACAGCACCTCGCCGCCAACCTCAGCGAGAGCGGTGGTGAAGCAGGAGCTCCGACTGCCCGGCACGAGGTGACCGGCATCCGGCACTGGGGTGGGAGGACTCACCGGACAGGAAGGGGCCCAGGGCTAACACCCAGCTATCAGGTAACATCACAGACCGAGAGATCGGAGATGCAGACACATTCAAGAAAAACTGTTGAAAACAGATTGATAGTCAGCCTTATGGATCTCAGCGAAGGACATGTTTTTCTTACTGGAAGAGAGCCACAGTGTAGAAATAGACTGAAATCAAGAAAGAGGACTGCAGCCGCAGCTTAAGCTGTATATTTAAACACTTTTGCTGCCGGACCATCTGGGCCTCAAGCTAAATTTACCTACAAATTATTTTCAATGTTTCTAACTTCTTGAGAGGTGAATGGTGCACTTGATACTTTATGCCAGGAGGAAAGGCAAAATAGGCAAAATGTCCTGAGTCAGATTTTCCCAGTGTCAGACCCATGTGTGGTTTTGGATGCCTGATTTATCCGCAACACCTTGACCTTGAGCCCAAGCTGGGTGCTCTGTGCACACAGAGCCCCTCGACCACCACCACCACCAAATCTTGACTTGCAT